AAGGCGGGGGGGGTTCGCAATTAGTTCAGGTACTGATTCAAAATATTCAAAGTCTTCTACCAACCTCTTACTAACCTCTTACTGTTGGAGTTTAGGGTTGAATCGTTTTGAAAGAAACCAAAATTTGGTGTTAAATGGGGTCTCATGGGGGTGTGGGCACTTCATAGCGTACAAAAGTTCTGCTGGCCGCTACTTCTAGCTTCAAGACTTCACAAATTTTGCAGTGTACGCAAGGCGGGCAAAGGACACGACAGTGGCCTGATGCCCCAAATGCCAAAGCGGCAAAGCCTGATAACATTGAGATGTGTTTCATGTAGCAAAGCTGAAAACATCCGCAGTTGCGCGCGCTAGGGCAGAAGCAGAACCCACACGCAAAGAACCGAACTCTCTGGCCAAAAGAGCAAGCTGCAGCAAAAGCCTGCCCGGAGCAGCAGATTGCAGGAACAAGGAGCAAAGACGTCTAGCAAAAAAGGAGAGCCATGCCAGAGAAGCAGATGTTCTGCCAGCCGTTGAAACAGAACTGAAACCCGAGATTCACCAACACATACAATCTAAGGGAGAGCGCAGGACAAGGCACACTTCATTCAAACATCACAAGCTAACCAAGTACCGAAATCAAGGGGAACTTCAAACTCCCACATGCGATGTCCAAGAACACAGAGATGTAGGGCAACAAGCAGCGAAGATGATCTGGGCAAATTTCCGACGCTCTAGCATCAGAGTTTGAGCATGGATCAACGACATCTTTAATTAAGTGGATATGAACAACCAGCAAACGCAAGGACTCGACTGACATTTGCCGTTGGCACCCGCTGTAAAATCGGCAGAACATGCTGTCGTCAACGTCGGCCGGCACTAGGCGCACAAGTTCCTGGACGAGAAAGATCGGGCGTGATGCCGGCCTTTGTTGAACACTTCGTAAAGTGTAAAGCATCCTTGTGCCATGTGGCACGTCACACAACGTGCATGACATGCATGTTTCCCCCCCAAATAATAGCATCTTTTTTCATGAGAGCCTTCTGCAAGCCTGTTTGGCCAGGTGGATCGCAGACAAGACATACGAGATGCACAGGCAGAGTACATGACCCACATTCACCAAGACCTGCCTTCGCTGCCTTGCACGCCGCATGAATCTAGGGAGCTCTTCAGCTTGCACGCATAGGGTCTCATTAAATGCGCTCTTTCAAGATTCGGTCGGGGGAAGAGACCCAGTTCAGCCCTGGTCCAGGGCCGGTACGCTTGTCCTCTCGGGCTCCGGGATGAAAGCATGATGGGTTGGGAATCTCATCTCTATGGTGCGTTGATAGTTGCGCTTGAAGCATTTTTCTTTCTGCCAGATGGCGCGGCCTCATCGACCACCTGACGCCGCAGCCACACAACTGGGCATGGCCCCAAAAGTGCTGACAGTCAGGTTGATGGAAAGCTCAGACGCATCCCTGCCCAAGCTTTCAAGACAGCATGTCTCTGCAAACCTGACGGATGCCTCGCAGAACACCTCATACAAGAGGCCCAAGTCAGAGCAAGAAGCCAAGTTGAGCCATCAACCCAGCAATATTCAGCCTGCAGTCTGTAGCAGTGGCTTTGTAGTTCATGCGACTAATGGGCGGCTTTAAAAGCCATACACCATCGGCGTGACATACTTACTTTGCAGTTCTTTGATGTCAACTCCTCCTTTCGATGCATCCCTTGTGACGCCTCCTGCGGTGGAGGCGCCCCTGTAAGACTTTGTTAACGCCTTGCACTGACATCGTTGTGTTGACTGCGTAGACGTTCCCGAGCAGGAGGCCTATGCCCGACTGTGGCTCGGAAAATATGTGGGGATCTCTCAGACAAGGGATACTTTTGTGTGTCTCAGGGAAGTTTTGGGATTTTGACAGGACTATGTGCGATATGTGCGTCCCCCTTGAGGGTTACACCTGGATCCATTTGCCAAAATCCCATTTCTGCTGAGCGGTGCAACTGTACGACATGTGCAACAACTGCGTTGGCAAGCTGAGGCGACCGTACGTGCATCGTACGCTGCTAAACTGAATACCTTGGAGCTGTCTTCTCTGGTAAAACTACGGATCCTAACAGCTCTTGTGATTACATGGTTGAGTAGTATATTGTATTTGGATCCAAAGTTTGGGCTCATTTAATACTGTACCAACCCCTTGTGGCATTCCAGGCGTGTGTTTACTTGTGAGCAGCTCGACCAGCGGGCTTCGCTTGCCAGCGGGGCTCCACGAAAGCTTTTCCTGAAGGCGGGCCTTCTCGAGTTTCGACAACAGGATGATATAGGGTATCTAGGGATTATATAGGGATATGTAGGGTATATAGGGAGTACATATGGGTTATATAGGAATTATATAGGGTTATGTTGGGATAATGGAAACTAAAATTGGAAACTATTTAGAATTATTAAAAACGGGTGTAGTTCAGCTGGCTTTGGGCATTAAGGTCAGCAAGTTTTGGGGATCCCAATGTCTGAGTCTACGTAGTGATGTAGAGTCTTGGGTCCCCAAGCATTACGAGTTGCTTGAGCTCCTTCCTGTAGGAATTACGAAAACTAATGCCATGGCAGGGAACGTTCAGCTGAAGCATGCGCGGTTCTATGGATAGGCGGAGCATGAGCAGAAGACGGGTTCTTTCAAGATCCGTGGCGCAATCAACGCCATATGTTCCCCGGCTGCAATCGGGTAGAGTGGAGCGGTTGGTGTGCGTGAGGGTCCCAGTAGTTTGGGTAAAGGAGGCCCTGAGTCTTGAGAAGCTCCCATTTGGTTTTGGTGAACACTCATAGTTTGATATGTCATAGTTCCAAATTCAAGATCAAGATCCGCCAGTTTTTGATGCCAGTTATTCATCAGCTGAACTCGTGTCAAGCATTCTCGTGTGTACCTCATACTAAGCACCCCGCTACCAATCGAGACCAAACCTGCAAGGGGTCCTGTTCCATGTCCCAAGACATTAGTTACAGCTTTGAACGGAGTATGCGACACAGCCTGTCATCGGAGAACAACCCATCTCATTCTCTTGAATTACAGTAGAATCTCTTCAGAACTGTTCAGCCCACGTGCATAACCTCTCCCCCCATGAGTCTCGTCAGACAGACAGGTTCATCCTCGGCAGCCGCTTGGCTACTTGAAATGAGCCATAGTCTTAACTCCTTAAAGGGGGATTATATAACTATTATAGGCTCATTAAGGGGGATACCAGGAGTGTAGACAATGGCTCAAATGTGTGTTGTTCACTTGGCCTTTTACACAGCCAGGCTCTAGAACGAGCAGTAGTACTGTACTGAAAGGGGATAATTTAGGTGCCATTTTATACGGGCCATCGGGTACCTTGTATCCCTATAGGAAGGAACAGAGTATTTGGAGGTCTACCCTGCAGCCACACGGTCTAAATCCCGCCAAACTCAAATCTCAAACCCCAAAACCCTAAATCCAAAACCCTAAAAACTTGAAGCACAACCCTGCTGTTTGCTGTGTTGGCCATGCAAGTGGCATAGTCCTGAAGCCGGCAGACACCATGAGCAAGGACTGCATCGTTACGCAGTCCTCTGGAAACCATGCCCAGGCCGGAAGTGAGCTATCTAGGGGTTATGGGATAATATTGGGATAATGGAAAATAAAATGGAAACTACTATAGTATATTGGGGTATATATGGGGATAATGGAAAAGAAAATGGAAACTACTATAATGGGTTATATAGGGGTTATATAGGGTTATATAGGGTTATACAGGGATATATATATATATGTAGAGATAGGGATATGTAGGGTTTAGGGTTTTACGGTCTAAACTCCTTGAAAGGGGGTTATTTAGGGGATTATGTAGGGTTTAGGGTTTAGGGTTGCATAAGGGTCCAAACTCCATAAGGGGGTTAGACAAGGGAAATATAGAGGGTTTAGGCTTAGAGGGGGCTTTATAGGGGAGAATATAGGGGACTTTAGGGTTTAGGATTTAGGTGCATTTAGGGTTGAGGGTGTAGGATTTATAGTTTAGGATTTAGGGTTTAGGGTTTATACTAAGTATCATGCTTATATATGCTTATGATTGCAACCCCCTAAAGGATTTCTAGTCGACAGTACTTCTCCTTCTTCTCTTTGGGAGACATTCACTCTAAACGTTATCTGAGCAGAGTGGCCACTACTTGCACGGTGGCCATCCTGATAGACGCACAGTTCTTTTAGTGTCCGTGACAGCCTCAGTGTACACATCAATTCTTTTTGCATTGGATTCCCCTTTATGGAGGTAGGAACCCCAAAGGAACCCCCAGAATCAAAGGATTTGCTTCTTCCCCGCACTCCCCCCCCTCCCCGCGTTTTAGTACCAGTAAGATCAAAGCAGTGCAGGCAATAGCCTTGGGTTGCAAGCTGCTGTCCAAGCAGGCCTTCAGGGGGCTGAATGGTAGGACGCCTTCTACATAACCACTGTATAACCCTTATATAACCCATTATCGTAGTTTCCACTTTCTTTTCCAGTATCCCCTATAGAATCCCAAACTTTTTGGGCTTGCCCGTGGGAGGGATGATAGAATTGCTATTGTGGGAAACATCAGCATCCTTTGTTACAATGCCCATGAGGGTTTGGAGGTTTGGCCTGGCTTCGGTATGAAGGGAGCGATTGGTGTCTCAGTGCAGACCTACTCGTAGTACTGCGCAAAAGCATGTGGGTACTGTAGGGCTTCATGGCTGTATTATTATGATTTATGGATTCAGGGTTGGGATGCTTTCTGCCGTTCAATGCAGCTGCCCTGCCTCTACACATGCTGGATGATGTCGACGGGGCGGCGTACTGCAAGAGATGGCATTGAACACATTGCTTGTAATCGCCTGGACCGTCCACACTGCAGTCAAAGTCATTTTCTAACAAATGCACATCACGTCGTAAGATCAATCTTGAGAACCATGCGAATGTCAGGATTAAGCGTTAATAGGAGAGAGCATGCGTGACGATGAAACATATCTGTCATTTCACCTCCGACAAACTGAACATGTGCAGAGGCTATCGTGGTCATGCCAGAGGATTCACCAAGCGTGAAAGTCAGCGCTGTTCGGGACACATACGGTGCCGAGGTGCAAGTTGAAAACGTGCTTCTTCCCTGCTTGCAAGTACAAACAGAAACAATTCTCTTGAGCAGGTGAAGTTCTGTCGGCCCACACAAGAGGCACGTGAGGCCGAAGGGGTTGACTGGGACATTTCAAGTCAGCACGGCAAAAGTTGGGCTTTTGCTTCGTTTGCTTGCTTGCTGTGGGAAGGCCATGTCGGCTGAAATCGTAGCCGAGCTTCGCGCGAAAAACGGGGCTGAAAAGGCTGAGGAGATCCACCCCAATCAGGACGAACATCAGCCGAGCTCCTTGATTGCGAAACGTGCGGAAGCTGGCCGGCAGGTTGAGCCTGTTGCCTGCCTTTTCCCGACAAACTGCAAAGTATGTGTGAAATGTGCAGGGTCGAGGCCGTCATACACAGCAGTGGAGCTTTCCTACGCACAGTTGAGTCCAACCCGCACAGGGCTTTTGGAGCACATGCTTTGCAGAAATTGTCCAGTGCTTAGGCAGGTTGACAGGCAAAGCTCGGCGACCTGTAGCCTTGTAACAGCTCAAGCCATAGACTGCTCGGCAAAGAGGAACGCTTATTAACATCATTATGATTGTTGCTATTATTTCTATTTTTATTATTGCTATTATGGTTATTATTAGTACCGTCATGGCTATTATTATCAGTATAGCACGATAATCACCATCATTACTTCAAAGAAGCTGACAGGACATTCGGGTGGTGAACGGCCAGGGTTCTGTTGGCCTGGAGATTTTGGGGCAGCAGCCTGACCTGGATGCGATTGTGGCGCCAGCCTTAGATGAGTAGGGTTTTAGGGTTTAGGGGAACGCCAGTATAGACCCCTGATGTTAGGGTCAAGGGGGTTTAATTAGGGTGGAGGGTTATTCTATAACCCCAATATAGACCCCAAGTGAGGTATAGTCTAAAACTCCATCAAGGGGGTCATGTAGAGTTTAGGGTTCAGGGTGGTGGATGATATAGGGTTTATGGTTTAGGGTCTTGCCTCCTTAAAGGGGGTTAAAGAGGGCATAATATCGGAGAGTATTGACGGGACTATTAAGGGGGGGTACTAGGGATTTAGATTATAGCTCAGATTAGAAGCTACCCAGTAGCCAAACGTAGCTTCACGAAGGGTTTTACATTCTTAGATATAGTAGGGTTGGTGGTCTTAGAGAGGGGACTCTGCAGACTCCTTCCTTCTTCTTCAAGGAGGGGAAGCATGACCCACAGCATCAGTGGTCGAGTCCTAGGTGTCCATTGGTGGGGGCGGCCTCATCTCTGGCATTGCTACATACGCGTCTGGCTTGTGTTGAGCACTAGGTCCGGAATGGTTCAAGAATATGGTTAATATAACCCCAATATAACCCTAAACCCTAAATCTCTAGATTGTAGTTTTCACTTTCTTTTCCATTATCCCCAAATAACCCCTATATCATTGTAGTGAGGCCTGCTTTTAAGGCAGCCAGAGAGACTGGAAGACAGACTGGTAGCCACGGAGCTTTTTCCGTTGCTGGGTGCCTGCAGAGGTCAAACATATCAACAAAAACATCAAGCTGATTGGGGCGGAGCCTGAACGTGCAAGAAGCGACCCTTATCTGCAAGCTTTTTGCGATGTCCTCCACTGCAATCACAGCTGACTTCGTTTCTTCTGTGCTTGAGACTTCGACACACGTCGTTGCTGAGGCCTTCATGTCGAAACAAGCTGGCAAGCTAGTGCCTGGGATGACCAGCATGTTGCTGGAATAGTGGTGTTGAGTAGAGGTGCTGGCTGCTGAAAATTTCAAGTTTCGCGTTTGCCCAGGTGAAAAATCCTCCGAATACTGTCATTGAAACCATTGCGGACTCCGTCAAGAGCAGCCTTGGGCCCACGACGTACCCGGTGGTGCAGGCTCCGAATCCGCTTGTGGTTCAGTAACTGCTGATGATGCACGCCCTGTTACGACTGAGAAACAAGAATTTGGAGGCAACATCTTCATGCATCTGAGCAAATCTTGTGATAGGATTTGGTGGACGCCGTCTTTACCGTCACAGAGCAGGAGATCGAAGATGCCACAAAGTTCACATTGGAAAGAGCAAAGCAGGCAAGTAGGACTAGTCTCCTAGTTAGGAATATCTTTTCGGGTTCCTATAATAAGGCTTATAGTGTTTGGGGGTCTATAGTGATTCCCCCCTATGTATAGAAACGGCTGTCTTGTCAGCACGAAGGTGCTGATACTGTTTAGGACATGTCATCGCCATAGTCTAAGGTTAGAAGTCTGGGCGCCAAATGTGGGCCCTGAGGCCTTTTGGGGGATTCTAGGGGCCCTTCGGCATGTAGTAGGTGTACAAGGGTCCCAGGGTTAAAAGCCCACGCTAAGGGCCCATCCATGGTTTGCACCTTAGACATAGAGTGAAAATGATGGGTTTCGTCTTGGGGTCCCCATGTATAGTCCCCCTTAAGTAGATAGAATATGGCTTTGGGTATATTATAATAAGATCCCCATATACCCCCCATATTCTATCTACTGAAGGGGGACTCTAAGTCCCCATCCTTGGAATCTCCATGGTTTCAAACCCCCCATTGCAGCCTCTTGCCACAGAGTCTCAGAGCAGCCTCGGCAGGCTGTAGTAAAACGGTGTGCAGGGTATGGTCCCCCTTAGGTAGATAGAATATGGGGTATATGGGGATCTGATTATAATATGCCCAAAGCCATGTTCTATCTACTTAAGGGGGACTAGGCTCACTGGGGGGTGCTTGGGAGGAAGCACCTCTCAGGGTCCGCCTTGTTTGGACGTTGCCTGCCATCTTGTTCAAACCCTGTAGATTCACAACAGATCGCGCTTGGGCCCTTGCCTAATCCGTTTCGACATTTTGTTGTGTGACCAGTGCAGACTACCATGGACCTAAGGTGTCATGTGAGTTGCAACAAGATGGGCGTGTGCTAACTTCTGAAACAGCACGGCCGATAATCTGGGGCCGCCTTAGTACTGTAATTAGGGACTCCCGTTCTAGCAAGTCCCTCAACCCTAAACACCGAAAATTCAGCCTGACGTAAAGCCTCTACAAATGAGCCCAAAGCCATCCCTAGAAGCGAAATTCCGAAGGCAAAACAGCACGAGTCACCAGAACCAGTCCGGTTCTACAACCCAACCCTAAACCCTAAACCCTTAAATCCCTAAACCCCTACAGCCCCTGGCAAACTCTGCACTCCTCCCTAACACTTTGAGCTCCTCAAGTTGAAGCCGTTTTTGAGCCAAAAATTAGGGGCCCCAATAGCAGGGAGTATAGTTTGGGTCATTCCCCCACCCAGTAGCTGTCCTTAAAGGGGGCCTTATTAAGGGGCTAGTATAATTCCTATTACCCCTTGTGGTAACAGTTACTGTAGGGGGGAATAACCCAAAGTATCGTAAATTGGGCAGGCATCGCATATACTCACTACAATTGAACCAGAGCCTCATGAAATAGTTTAACAACTAGCGGGCCAACGTTGGGTCTCCAGTTTTGGAGAAATCACCGGTAATATCTTTAAAGCCAGCCTATTGCCCCATAAATCCACGATACAACCCTATGTAGCCCCTACGTGGCCCCATGAAACCCGTATATGTAACCCGTCTACAGCCCTATAACACGCCTAACGGAGCTTCAATCACCTATATCTAACGTTTACAGGACCCCTATATTTTTCCCCCCATAGAACCCCTAAACTTGTATAATCTCTATATGTATGCATATATCAATATATATATATATATAACATATATATCTTCGGCAGGTGATCGAGCCGGGCTGCGGGGTTGCTGTGGCAGTGGCCACCTCCAAGCAGCTCTACGAGAGGCCTGGAGCAAGAGCTAGTAAGATGGGGTTTAGGGTCATATAGGGTTTAGGGTTTAGGGTCATCCACAGTCACATTATAGGGTTTAGGGTTTAGGGTCATCTTGATTAGGATTTAGAGAGAGAGGGTCATATAGGGGCATATATTTAGGGTTGTAAAGGGGTCATATGAGCTATGGACTTTGTTTAGTTTGGGGGGACCTAGGGGAATTTCTAGGGCTTTGGGGGGGGGACCTACTAAGGGATATGCAACAAATTCAGTCCAGGCCTCATATAGGGGTGTATATTTAGGGTTTCAAAAGGGTTAGAGAAGGGTTACGTAGGGTTTAGGGCTTACTGGGTTGCTGTCAAGGAAATTTCAGGAACTTGAAGTTGAGTTACCATGTTATGGGTATATAGTAAATAATAGGGTTTCCTTGTTACTAGTGACTTACTTGAAGCTCAATAACAGCAACCCCATTCAGGGCTTTATAGGAGTTAAATACTGTAGTATATGCAGTATATGTTGGGGTTGTACTGATATCAGCATAATGGTTTTCTTTCTGAAGGGGTTACTCTAGGGAAATCTGTAGGGAGAAGCAGGGCCACGCTCCGAAAATCGAAAGAGTCTAACAAAACATCAACACCTCATCTAGGCAAATATGTAGGATCTAGAATGGAGGCTTAAAACATTTGCAAGATTTCCGAGTAGAACTCCTGTTTTCCTGATGGTATATCATATCTGCTGATGAACGCGTAAGCCGTAAGCATCAGGACAGCGAACAAGGTACGGAGCATGCTTCTATCAGAACCTTTCATAGAGGTGTTCAGACAAGGGGTACTACAATGAAGTAGAAGGAGGCTTAGCAGTCCTTCACGGAACAGTGGGATGATGGTTTTGCTGGAGCCTAAAACTGTCTGTCCTTTCCGAAGGTTTCCTGATCTGCAGAAGATTGGCGTGGTATTGTGCGGTGGCGCCTTGCCTGGGTATTGGCCTGATAGTTTTGTGGTCTCATGCAACCTGACTCCCATTCTCAAAGCATGAGCAGGAACTCAGGGATGCAGGTGTTGCTGTGCAACGTGCAGCTAGATCTTAGACCGCGCCCGTAAGAGCCCCAAGAGTCTTTCGCGTCATGCTGTGTCTAAGGCAACATTGACCTGGACAATCTACCTTGGCGACGAAAAACGTCATCCGGAGGATACTAGGAAACCAGCCGTGATGCAAACTTACGCATCCAGCCGACTAGCTTAGCATTTGCGCAACGCTGCGGACACGCGCTTACCCTGCATGCAGAAGTGGGACGGGATGGGAAAGTCCCTTCCATTCCCTGCCGCATGCAGCTTCAAGGAGATTGCCCGAAGTATTGACTGCTCCCGGAATCGGTTAAAAAGGGTTTAGAAATCAAGCGAGTTGCCATCAACTGGTTTGTCTTTGTCGGATGTGACGTTGTAATTCTTCCCAGGTCAATCGGATGCGTGTGGCGCTGAGAAAGCTGTCCATATTGTGTGTTGCGTCTAGTTGCTGTTGACCGCTCAACTGCGATCAGTCTACGAGCCCATATGTGCAATCAAGAATTGAAGGGCCTACAGTAATAGCAGATTATTGTATAGTATGAGATAGTACGTTACACTATATTACTCCATGATATACTATAGTTAGTATATTTGAGCTGAGAGGCACCTTCTTCATGGGCGATAGATGGCGTGCGCAGCCATGAGCCCGGCTGTGCACGTATGATGTTGTTACTATTGTTATTACAAGTATTGTTACTATCCGTATTTCCATTATTGTTATTCTTATTACGACTATTATTCATGACGTCAGCCGGCATGCCTTGCTTTCTCGACGCCAAAGCTGCCACAACCTCAGGTCACAGAATAAGAAGCTTCCTCACCATGTGAGGTGTTCCTTTCCGTGGTGGGCCCAGCAGACTAACCCACCAGGAATCTGACATCCCTAGAGTCAGCAAGCAAAAGTTGGGGAGCAGGCTGTACCAGTTCCGGGAATATCAAAAAATCCCGCAAGGAGGGTGTTGTCAGGTGGGGGAATATCGCGGGCAAAAGCTGGCATGAACTCTGGAGGTCTGAGCTGTTTAAGCGGATGGAAGACCACGTCGGCACAAAGGCAAAGATTGCCATTGCTTTTCATCACTTCCTCCTCACATACAGCACCCGCCCACTAGGTCAAACATCGTAATGGGTTACACACATCAAATTGAGGGCCGTGGGGGTGTTGTTAAGCATAATTAACCCAGACCCCTGATTAATAAACCCCCTCCCCTTTATAGATTTAGTAGGGATTATGATAGGGATCCTCATATTTAGGGTCTTGGGGTGTTAATTAATCATGGGTCTACATTATCTGCTCAAATTGTGATTCCTGTCTTTCACGGGGAGGTGGCCGTGGAACTCTGCGAGATTCTCAATGAGCCTGCCATATCCTTATGGAACCTGCGCAGGTTTTGAAGGGGCTTCCAAAAACAGGAGTCTCTCTCTGGGGATTCTGAGGATAAGTGTTTTAGCATGTAGTATGATACCCCTATATAACCCTATAGTGTAGTAGTTTCCATTTTATTTTCCACTATCCTTATATAGCCCCTAGTATTTGGGGTATACACAGGGGAACCCTGTCTTGGAAATTTCCATGCTTGGCATTTCGTGGAAATTCTTCAGGGGTGCCCTACCTGATGTGTCTTTGGCCTTTTTTGGTTATTTAGGGGTATATAGGGATAATGGAAAAGAAAATGGAAACTAATCTATGATGATACGGTATATCTTGGGGTTATATAGGGGATCTGTTCGCGTATAAAACCCTGTTAGCGTTCGGTTTGTGCATCGGGAAGAAGCGGCCGAGGCCCAACTACTTTTCCACTCTCTTTTCAAGACGTTGTCAGGCTTTTCTGTGACGTCTTCACAGACGCACCCCCAGCCTGATCCAGCTCAGGCTATGACCTTCCTGCGCGTCAACACAGCGCGAATTTCCAGGGACAAGGCTCGCTGAGGAGGGAGATATTTGGGTTTCCCAAAATTAGGGGTACCTTTAGAGGGGTTATGTATAGGGATAATGGAAAAGAGAATGGAAACTACTATGTAGGCTTTAGAAGAACTTCGCACAGTCCTCTGGGCTCCTCTTTTTGAACAGTTGCCATGTTGCTCAGATCTGTTAGTGCCCCAAAGCAAGGGGGATGCAGGTCTTCACTTTCTTGAGCAGTCGATCCGTGCCCGTGGAGAAGACGAGAAGCTGGCTTCTTTTTTGCTTTTGACCCTGAGCTCAAAGCGCTCACTCCCCCAAAAGCTGTAGTCAAGAGTCACTATAGTTCTGACTATGAGGACCGACTAGGGGGTCAAGGTTTTTTGGCAAAGTTTCCTGGCCAGGCAAAACTCCCAGATGGGCCTTCTCCTGACTTCGAAGTGCCCGGCTTGGCTGGAATTCTAGAGGGAGATACGTTACAACATTCGCCGCTGTGCCACTGTACCACAACAACTCCAAAAGAGGACACGCACATTTTGTGGAACTTTCACAGAACGTCCAGCATGATCGGCGAAGGCAAAACCTGCTCGAGGTCCCGGAGTACAAGCTCGGGTGCTCCCTTGGGAGCATTGTTTCTGCAAAAATCAAATCAAAGCCGGGGGACATGCTTTGCATGGCATGTCCTGGATGATGTGGCAGTCCATGCCCCAATGCCAGCAGCTTCTGTCTTCATGTCAACAAAAGGTTGGGCTAAAGATGCAGCAGCTATTATCTTGCACCATCACAGGCAGCAGTCGCAAGGCTTAGCGACCCCTGCAAGATTTGTAAGCCCTCCGTGTCGGGTCTACCTCATCCCCTACAGACTGCTAAACGCGGATAGTCCCTCACAAGTATCAAAAAGAGGCGGCACTGCTTCCCAAAGGTTTCCCAGCCTGCCTGTCCAGCCTACTCTTGAATATGCCTTAATTACGCGCTATGATGATCTTTGTAGAAGCTCTACAGCCTATACCTACCTATAGCAGACATCTCCGAGTGCCTCAATGGGCGGCGAGCCCTGGGGAAATGACGGCCCACAAAGATGGGCCAAGAGGGAAGAACCATTGGAGGCTCCCCGCTCTCAAAATGGGGTGGCCCTAGGGACAGAAGGGATGTATGGAGACGTTGCAGAGATTGTAGTTGAAGGGCTGGCTGGCCCTCAAGGACATTGTAGAGATTTTGTTGATGCAGTTCCATGTAGGAGCCCAGTCGGAGGTGTTGATAGGAGCCCTGCAGGGGGTGTACGAGGTTGAGTTTGCCGGGCGCCAAAAAACCACACGAACATCATGATCTTCCGCGGAGGATATGGGGTTCTACGCGCTAGGTGGAGGTCCTTATGTCCCCGCGATCTTTGGGGTTCCTAAGCTTTGCGCAGGCCTCACGCGAAAGTTAATGCGCGGTTCGTCAAGGTTGGGTATGGTTTCTTGCAGGCGGTACGCAGTTTGACTCGCTTTTCAGGGCTCCAAGCTATGTACGGCTGGTCATTTTGCAGGGTTCTGAAACACTTCTGACACCTACCCTTTTGGGAATGACATTGTGTGTAGGGTTCCCGTGTGAGTGCTTGGAGGAAGCCTACAGGTACATATGCTCATTTTGACACAGCGTGCACACATGAAATTATTCCAGATGGTGTCAAATATGTCGGGATGATGTGGTGTACTGCCTAGCAAATCTTTGGGAGCATCCACACTTGCCGATGACGCCAAACTTGCTCAAACGCCCTCTGCAGAAGCTACTGACAGTTGTACATAGCTCTGCCCCCGAAACCCCCTAACTCCGCTTTGTGACTTGCAAGCAGCAAAAGACCCTGAGCCCAAAGACCCCCTGTAAACCTGTCAGGCAGATTCTTGCTTACCAAAATGCTGGGAAGTGGATCCTTCGGCCAGCCGCGGGGCCTGCACTGGCCTACAAGCCTGTTGCCTTGGGCTTTTGGTAACTTGTGCTTGCTTTGCCTACATGTCAAGGATCTACATTGCCAAAGATTCAGAACAGACCGATCGCGAAGTGGCCCTCAAGCTTGAGGTTAAGGCCTGTGCGGCTGTTCTAGGCAAGATCTTTTGATCGGGAGGGAGCGGCGAGCAGCAGAGACGTGCGTCGAGAAAGCTACACAGCAGATTAACAGAGACTGCAGAAGCCTGGCCCGTGGTGATTTTGGCATTGGCAGGACACGAAACATCCGCAGCTGATCTACGAGGCCTCGGCACTAGTATCACAACCGTCAAAGCCTGTCACACGTGGCATGCGATTCTGAGGCATGTTGAGAAGGATGTCGATGTCGGTTTATATGATCGACCTGGGTAATAGCATGCTCTGACGCGCGCTCGCAGGGCTCAAAATGATTGGGCAAGCCGCCGAGCAGAATTGCACAAGTCCCGAGTTCCCTGTTATGTGACAAGCAAGCAGGCCAAGCTACTGAAGCTTCTTCAGGGCTCTCCCGGTGTCGCAGAGGCCTGGGGAGGACAGCGTCGAAGCGCAGGGAAGTGCTAACTAATTTTGTGTTTTCAGCCTGGTCAGTGACCCATGGCAGCACACGTCTGCAACAAATTTGGATCAGGTCTGAGCAGGTTTAACCCGCAGATGTGTGTGTGTGTGTGTGAGCCCTGCCAGATTTTCTACTTCGGTTTCGAGGCGGACTTTGCGGCCGGGGACTTACACTGGGTAAGGGTGCCCTTAAACCCTTTTGGCACCCTAAATCGCATCAAGCACGTCGCCAGCTCGATTGGGATGTTCTGGGAGATGCTTATGTCACGTCTCAAAACTAGGCTTGCAGTGATGAGTGACAAGCCCCTGCCTCCGGCCTCGAGCAATGAACACCCTACTTGTAACAATAAACATGCACTGGAATTTGGCTGCGGGAGTTTATTATTAGGGGTTGGGGGGGCTCGCCCTTTCGTAGGGGAGGTAAGCTGTCTGTACGTCAGCGGAGGTCATGGCTATGGAGCTTATGGGGCCATCCTTGGAGGATGTCTTCAACCTTTGCAAGCGCAAGCTGTCGCTAAAGGCTGCTGCTCCTGCAGTGGGAAAAAGACCTCCCCACTTTAGGACCCCCCCCCGCTTCTGAGGGACTCCACTAGGCCTTACTAGGGGAGTGGGTGTCCTTGTATAATGAATTAGAATAAGATCCCAGCACATTCCCCACAGCTCGGCCCTGAGCTTTGATTCGGATTGAGAGAAGGCTTGATGGGAGTGCCTCATTGAAGCATCATGGGAAAGCCGCTGTATGATGTTGGCCTTCGACATGCCTACGTTCGAGCTAGTTCATTCTATTGTCATTTTGTCATTACGACCGTCATCATTAATCTTCTTGTATTCTTTATTGCTTTGGTGCAGCAATCGCAATTTTGTGCAGTCGACGCTGATGCTGGCTGACCAGCTACTCCTGAGGAGACCTGGCTTGAAATCGCTTGATTTTGTGCAAGTGGAATCTTCTAAAAAGAGCGCAATATGTGGGCCTTGGGCATCGGCATCGCTCTTCGAAGCCCTGAGCCCGCATGTTTGCATAGCTGCAGCTTAGAGCTCAGAGTGCTTCAAAGCCGAGGATAGAGCATTTTCACAGCCGGCATTACATCCACCGAGACATAAAGCCAGTACCGCACCAAGAGATCCAGCCTTTGGGTCCTCCCCCCACTCTGCAACACTTGGGTTACGTATATATAATATGGTTGTATATAGCTCTTCATATGACCCCTAATATAGACTGTTACAGGGCGGGGGCAGTACCCAATCCAGCTTAGTGGTGAGTTTGCTGATCCTCTTTGCTGCACAGCATGCAGCGAGGACAACTTCTTGATCGGCCGGGGGCAAAGGTCAAACCTGGTCTGAGGCCGAGTCTTGTCTGGGTAGGCCCCTGGGATATTTAATATTTTCCCTAATGGCTTTAATAGGAGACCGTATATATGAATATTTTTCAAAGGGTTTTAGGGGCCAACCCAGTTGTGTACTTGCAAGAAGTATGCCATGCTCCTCCTGCATCTTCCTGCATGCGAGTGTATCTGAGGTGTACATAATCGATTTCGGCTTGGCCAAAAAGTACAGGAATCCAGAAACCCTTGTGCATGGGCGTGGCGCCCGGTGCACGAATGCTCGTGTTGTATTAGCATCTGCGTCGTCATAACAAGTGCGGCCCAGGCCCTACCGGGAGAACAAAAATCTGACAGGTACTGCTCGGTACGCTTCATTGCGGCCTAGCTTCTTTGGAACTGAATCCAAATGAGCTATGGTCTAAACTGCCTAAAGGGGGTTATATAGGGGATTATATAAGGGACTACTATAGGGGTTATTAAGGGGGATACTAGGAGTTTAGACTATAGCTCAAATCTCACTTATGGAATTGTCTCCAGCTCTTGAAGTCAATGCTGCCCCCATTGCACGGGGACAGCTTCAGCTGAGGTTCCAGGGGGGCTCCCGGGGGTTTCCAACAACGGGGACTTATAACAACGAGGATTCAAGTATTTTGGGGTCTATATGCGTCCGTGCTCTGTTCCCAGTCCCCGGGTACCTCCATAAGCTCCCCGATGAAACTTTTTCCAAACTTTCAGAACCCCTCTAAAAACCATCCAGAAAACTTTCAACGTCTTATAACCTCTCTAAGCCCGGTTTAAACCTTTTTGAAATACAAGCCGTAGTTAAAACTCTGTAAAACCTTCTTGAACTTCAGAAGCCCTTTCAAACACCCTCAGAAAACCGCTGAAATTCTGATAGATAAACCTGCTACGCAACCCATGAACCCATCTCTAAACTAAACATTGTAAACCCTCTTACGTAATCTAAACCACAATGCCCAGACCACAGGATCAAGGGGGGGCGGGGCGTTAGATTCATCAGATTCTGGTGAGCGCAATGACACAGAAAGAGAATGCAATCCTTTGAGTATCCAGTGCTCTATAAATAGTCCTTGATGATTCTTAGATGAACTCTATGGCCTCACATCCTGCCCCAGCACTAAACCTTCGATCCCTTACCTCTCAGTTGTCATGTCACTTTCCACTTTGTTTTTCATTTGATTGTCCATTAATCGGGGCAATGTGCACCTAAGCCCGATAAATATGTAACCCTACAGAAGCCCTGTGTGCCTCTGCATATCCCAAACTCTAAATCATGTGATGGTTTTCATTGTCGTCTCTATTCCTTGAAATGCCTCTCCTGACCCTGCAAGTGACGTCCCTCAAAACGTGTAAATCCTAACCCTAAACCCTATCTGAGATATAAGCCCCTCATAATACCTGTATAGCCCTATATAATCCCTAAACCCCTAACCCACACATAACCCCTATATAACCCTAAACGGAGAAAACTCAAAGCCAAGGAATGCGCATCTGGGCATCGAGCAGAGCCGCCGAGATGATCTGGAAGCGATCGGCTTCGCTGGGGCCTTAAGCTTGACATAAAGTGACGTAGGAACCCTAGAAAGCATTGAACTATAGGCATTTAACTTCTTTACAAGAAGAACCCCTACCTCAATATTTAAATGCTTGGGTTTCAATGCTTCCTAGTCCCCCTAATAAAGGGCCTGCACAGGGATTATCATAATATAGGGTTCTATTAATGTCTGTGTGCAGCAAATGAATTGCATCACACCTTTATACAAAAATCTAGAATGTTTAAACGACTTATACATAACATTTGACATCAAGAACCATTTTCACACCGAAACAAGAAAAATCTCAATGGATACTGTTTTGGAAAGTATGACCATGAAAAGAAACATTTGAATCACACGAAAAGAAACAATAACGAGAGAACATTATTCAGTTCCATGTAAAAAAGGCTTTCACATAACCTTTATAAATGGATACTGTTTTTCAAAGCATGCAAGAAGGAAAGAACAACATTTCAATATGGAAAGGGACCATGTGCGGATACTTTGGTGGCGTGAAAACTGATGTGTCATTTGGGGTTCGGACTCAGGAGTTTCAACGTCTGGCTACTGGGGAATGGGGAAATGGATCAGACAATGGAAATTATTGTAGAGAGACTTCTCTAGACACTCATGCCTCCATTTCCCGTCCTAATAACAACCAGAAAGATGGAAGGCGCGGCAAAACCCACAACAACAGTAGTTGTGGCAGAAGTAGCATGCATCATTGCCACTGCAACAGATGCACGGTGGCTACAAGCAGCAATCACATGCAGTGGCACTGCGCCATCCTCATTTTGTCGGATAAGAAATGTGCCCTAAACTTGGTCAGTTTGCGCCTAGGAGGGCCTGGATATGCAACTACTTAAGACTGCCAGCACCAAGGAATTTCAGAAGGAAGAATGCTTCTGTGCATGTTAATTTGATTTCCATTTCCACTTCTTGCTAATGAGCTCAACTGATGATGTTTTTCTCATCAGATGTTGCTGCTTTGGCAAATCCACCCTGATTTGTCGACTTCTTGCCATACTTTTCATGCCGGATGTGATCCCTCAATATTGCACCCTTTCTCTCGTACATTGAAAATGTCTGCGTTATACTGTGGGTCTCTGACTTAGCGCTCAGAGTGTTTCACCCCTTTGAAGGAAAACTGTCTTGTTACTTTGGCTGCATGAGAGGAATTTTTCGGTATTGGCAGGTCCTGGTGTACTTTCTCAAAGGATCGCTGCCATGGCGCCGGCCTCAGCATGGCCATGGGGGTACGAGATGGGGGTTTCCTAAAATTAGGGGTACCTTGATGGGGGGTCCCCATGCTGAGGACTATAGCACTTTGGGGTCTATGTTAGTTAGGATCCCCTATTTTGGGAAACTATGAGATAGGGGGCATCTTCTTTCTCCAACGTTTTGAGAAATGTTGGGATTGGCTGATTTGTTATTGCGAACTGCCCTGCAGTTGGCACTGGGAGGTTTCAGGTGAAAGTCGCGACTTGTGGGCTTGGGGTGATCCAATCCACCTTTTTCTGAATTTCTGGCATCCCGAAGAGCAGCCCAGGCAAGGAATCAAGGCTGAGGGCAAGCATGACAAGCAACTGGTTCGCACCAGCTGCACTGATGCATGATGTCATGTGAGTTATTGTCAAACAGATAGGCCGGAAGAAGCTGCCCAGATGGCGTTTTTTGCATGGCGATGAGCTGAGGTATGCAGCAATCATGGAAATGAAAATCAAGATGACTTTTGCGGAGCTGTGCCAAGGGCTTCCGGAGGACCCATGGCCACTAGCTGTAGCTAGAAGTGGGACCTTGCCACTGCCCATGCCACTGCCCACAAGCTTCCCTGATTCTCTCATGGAGGAGTTCGCCACATTTCTGAATTATGCTACCTGGAAGCAGCTCAAGCTTGCGAATATTTGCGAATCCCCTTCAAAGCAGAAGGCTTTCATGTGACATTATATAAGCTATAGTCTAAACTCTCACAGGGGGTTATATAATATAGGGGAGGGGAGTATTATAGGGCTTGTTAAGGGGGATGCTCGGAGTTTAGACTATAGCTCATTTAATGTGAGGCCCGGCTCCTGGCCTTTGATGAGGATCCCGACTACAGCTGCCTGGCAGCAGCTGTTTTTTGGATAGACCCAGATCATCCAAACAGGTGACAATGACGAGTTGCCATATGTCTACCCCGCCTTGTACCCAAATTAGGGCTTAGGCAGACTGGCTGTAGTCCCCTGAATAATCCCTGATATAATCCTCTCTTAAGGAGGTTTGTTTAGACTAGGGATATTATGCGGATAATGGAGAAGAAACTTGCACAGGATACATGCGCTGGCTCTTCAAAAGCCTGTATCATCGCCTTGGCCTCAGCCGCGTTTAGTGGTCATAGCGGTGCATTCCCAATTCGATGAGAAAACCATGAGAGTCATGATCTCTATCACTGCTGCCATTTCATTTCGGCCTGACTGGAGAGCATGTTGATCACTTAACCGCAATACCAGCCAAACAGCTAGTTAGACTAAGTGAAGCGTGCAGGAGAGGGATTTCGGAACGACGGCTGCTTCGATTGGAACATTGTCCGCGCTAGACCGCAGTCGGAGGTCGCGGAGCGTCGTGAGGCGCTTTATTCGGCTTTTCGAGGGATTTAGGATCCGAACTTATTCAGGGTTTCAAAAAGCGTGCTCGAAAAATGCTGTTTCATTCCTCATTAGCTTTCAGCCCCCACAAAATCCTCGGAGCTACAAGACGGTCATCTTAGCCATTAGCAGGCGGCTCCATCTGTTTCGGGAGCCTGCGAAGCCACCAGCCCAATGCCTACTTGAAGGGACCTGGAGTAACTAAAGGGTTTTTGAACCTACTTATAATGGGTTGCATTCGGGTTATTTTGGGCTCATTTGGGCTAATTAGCGTGCTACAATATATTACCTATCCCCAGAATCCATCAAAGTGTTACCCCCTATAGACATCCTACATGAGCTACTGTCAATATCAGGCTCATTACTGGGGGGCTCTTAATAGTGTACATAGGATAGGGCTCTCTCTTGTGGTTTAGTATAGTCCTTTGGACAGTCCCGAAAAGGGAGCTCATGTCCATTAGTCATTCGGGCAATAATGGCTATAGCTCGCATGGCGGGCCGTTTTATTTGCAGCTAGCAGGCTCGCCTACGGAAGAGAAGCGTCAGTGGCTTGGGCAGCCAACCTTCAGATCGCCACCTTTCTGAATTCTGGAAGATGTGGGGGTGTCCACACTAAGGACGATAGTGTTTTGGAGTCTATGATGGGGTCCCGTTCTTTAGGGAAATTACAATTTCTGATGAGAAAAACTGACTGAGACCCAAATGGAAAAGACCATGGAAAGTGAAATGGGCACCGGCTCAAATGGGGGCGTAGAGTCTAGACTTAGTGTGGCAAAAGGGCTTGAATCACAATAGCAGGATGCTCAGCGGTCTGCTCTCATTTTTTGCTTCTTGGCTCTTGGTTTTCCACACTCCAAGATGAAGATAGGGAGAGATGTTGCCTTAGGTTACTGGGTGTTTCCCAAACTTAAGGGTACTTTTGGGGGTCCATATAGGAAGGCTTATAACTTCATGGGTCCCCCATGTAGGGAAACTACCAGTGATCAGCTTGGAGAGTCAACCCCAGAGGCTCATGGCGATGGACATTCTTGTGGCACTGCAGGGCAACATTGGATATGCGATTGCTCTACTGCTTGTTTGGAGGGTGGGGTTTGTCAAATACAGCATGCGCCCTGGCCAGAATGACCAGGACCCATGAGCCGCGTCTTACGCAACAGCAGCCGCACCAGCACCACCCAAACAAGTTCCGTGTTCACATGGCATTATCTAGAAACAGTTTTTTTTTCCAAAAAATCAAGAAGACACGCGCCTGATGATGCTCTTGCTGCCCGGTGCCAACTGTTTGTGCTACCCTTTCCGATGAGCTTTTGGGGATGTTATGAACATTGAGACAAGACCAAGGTGCAGCCGAAGATGTCGTCCTCTCTGTCCGTTCAAGCGGGTAGCTCGTCACCGGCCCAGCGCACAGAGTCTCGGAAGATCGCAGCGGAGTAGCTACAATCTTGTAACATTTTTGCAGAGTTGGAGCGAGCTCAGGATTGTTAAAATTGAACATAATCCTGCTAAAAGGGTCTGGCAACGTGGCCCTCCAGAGCATCTTATCCGTAACGTACCGCGTCGTTGGATTCCACTAAGATTTCCACGTCCTCTACTGGGTAGGCCCCTGGGATACTTAGTATTTTCCCCAATGGCTTTAATAGGGGACCCTATATATTAACATTTTCAAAGGGTTTTAGGGGCCAACCCAGTCTAACTTTCACAAAGTCTCCTTGCCTTGTGAGATTCTGGCTTTGACAGCTGGCAAAGCCAGGGCAGCAGTTTCACAGGCAGACAATGCCGCAAAAAGTTGCGTGCGACTTGTGGCTTGTGCATGTCACCTGACAGCAGGGGCCCGGGGCTGTACATGCGTTCCGGCATGCTTGTCCGTCTCCTGGACACATGCATGCATGTTTTGACAATCTTGAGCATGATTGCCAGTGAATTTAGTGTGCTGACATTGCCCGAAGGCTGACCTGAACACGGCTGAAAGCTGTATTCATCAACTACTCGCATAGGCTTACTCACCCGAAAGATCAATTTCCATGGAGATTTATGTGAGTCTCGCTGCAGAGCTGTGAGGTATTTCGAGATTCAAGACGAATCTTCCCAAATCATTTCCGCTCAGGCTTGCCATCAGGGGCACTACGAGGGTTAGGAGTTTGAAGAATTCTCAGGGGGCCCCATAAGCAGGGACCCCCAAAGGTCCCTTAATATTATCCCGGTACGGCACCCCCTTAAGCTGGATGCCCTGTGAAGGTTTGGTATTGATGACGTCGGGTACTGTGAGTAGTGGGGTCACTGCCTTGGAGTTTCCTTGAAGTAGGGAGCCCCAAAGGTGTACTCGACATACGGGGATTGAACCAAGAACGCCAAATGCATTGATCATTTTGGGCATGTTTACCCTGAGCTCGGGAGTCCTGAGTCTTGAAGGAAATCCTCATTATACTTAGGAACCATGCAGAGGGTGCAAAAGAGCGCAAATCCCTTGGGAGGTGGATGCGAAGCCTGGTGATATGGTCTTAGACTACTGTGCTGGCAGTGGTGGCAAGGCACCTTGGGGCCCCGGCGGGGAAATTATTGGCAATTTCCAAAAAGTGTAGCCCAAAACCATAGCTGTCAGATTATTTTCTGGTTCTGCATAAGGTCACTAGTGTGCTATATGAGGTGTCGCATTTAAACAGGATTTTGCATAAGGCTTTTGGGTGTAAAGCCAGCTTGTCCGAGCGGAATGGGGATTCTTGAAGAGAGGGTCGTCTTCTCTTTTGTCTACCCAGCTCTTGAAAAAACACCTACGTGGCTGTGACCTTCAGGCTCTGTGCATCGCCCCCCCAATGCTCAATCGAGGGCAGGTCTTTGGCCTCAGTTGCTTCCCTGGTGCTTGGTGAGGAAGTGGACCCCGGTAGTTATCCCTAGTCGGGTCCACCATTTTCCATCCCTGCAGCCTGTTCCTGCAGCAAGATTATTTCATATCTTCTAGCACCAGGGAATTGAGTGATGCACTCGGGGCAGGCCGTCCAGGTCTGACGTTTTCCAGGAAAACTGCAGGGCCTGGATGTGCTTTCGTTGTCTCCTGCCAGCCAATTCCTTCAAGGGTTTTGCGAACAGTGCTCACACGCAGGCTTTCTTGCAATGACTCTACGCGCCCGCAAGCGTGAACTAAGCCAAAACTAGCATTTACACATCTGAAAGGCCAGGTTCTGTCGCCTTGCCGCCATGCACAGCGCCCGTGTTCTTCTGTAGTCGCACGCGCAGCATGGGAGCATACTGCTGTCGGCAAGATGCACCACTTCTTCCAGGGGAACCTACAGATGTGGATGCTCCAAGATTTGGCGAAGGACCGTCGCTGATACCTCCCTTCGGTGTTGAGGAGGAAGTGAACGAAGAACAGGAATCCGAAGCTGAGGAAGATTACCCTCGGTTGCCTGTTGGTGGCAGATTCACCGTGATGATGTTTGGAATGACAGGAGCTGGTAAGAGTGCGATTGGCAATCTTCTTGCAGGTTGCGAAGCTTTCGCCTCTGGAGATGACACAGCTAGCGTGACAAACCTCGACTCAGTGCCGTGCCCATTGCTTTGGTAGTTCTTGTGTTTGGTTGTGGGTCACATTTTGGCTGCCAAAGTGGTGGGGTTTGCATCTTAAAGTTTGCTACCGCAGGTCATGAGATTTGAAGCAGCTGACGACTCCTTTTTCATATTAGACACGATCGGACTTGGAGACACTGAGATCGATCAGGACAAAGTTGTCGCGAGCATACGCGATGTTGCCCTGTCAGCTGTAAATGGCGTGGATGCCATGTGCTTTGTGATGCGAAATGCGCGCATCACAGATGACGCCATCGCGAGGCTAATATACGTCACAGAGTACCTATGGGGTACCGAATGCCTTCTGAACTTGTACGTGATTGTCACTTTTGCCAGTAGATACCTAGCAAACAGGGAAGATGCAAACCAGTGGATCGACAGACAAGTGGAACTGAACTGGCGATTCAAACACATTTATGACCTGGTTGGCCAGAATCCCTATAGATTCATTTTCATTGACAACCCAAGTATCGATTCCGGGGAGCCAAATGTCGAGGAGCGCCAGGCGGCTAGCAAGCGGGCTTTGATGACCGCTTTTGTAAAGCACCCTCGTGATGTGATTCCCCCCTTCACGCATGCAGTCATGCAGAAAGCAAAGCAGCTGGTTGCCGAGCAGCAAGCCGAAGTCGAGAAGGCTGCTGCCAAAGTCCAAGAGGCAGCTCAAAACACGAAGCCCAAGAAGAAGCGTAAGAGCAGCAAAAGTCGACCTCGACCTTCGCAGTCTCAGAGCCCGGACGCAGCTGACTCAAGTGCAGATGCAGTGAAAGCAGCTCTGGAGGAGAAGAAAAAGGCTCAAGAAAACTTGGATCAGGCCTTGATCAAGGCGGGATATAGGGTTTAGGGTTTGCTAAAATTAGGGCTATCTTTTGGGGGATCCCAGTAGTAAGGACTAAAGTGTTTTTGGGGGAAAGTACCAGGTGAAGAAGGATGCCGACTTTCAGCGAGAAATTGCCAAGGAGGCAGAATTGGCAACTCTGCGGTTTGGCCAAGCATACCAGAACCAAGCAGAAGCTGAGTTGCTGTAAGGATTATTTTGGGATGATGGGACATAAAATGGAAACTCTTATATAGGGTTTAGGGTTACCATAATGGGTATATATATATATATAGTAAATAAGAAGGTTTTCCCAACATAGTAGCTTAAATTAACTTCTTGAGCAACCCAGGAAGAGGCTGTTGCGCTGCCCTCGCCTACTGCATCCACTTCCAGCAATCCAAGTGCTGGCGGCAACCCAGTCCAGGCGTGCAAGCGCATGTTCTTCTCCTTGGTCAACAAGATGGGCGGGAAAAACAAGCTACCAAAAAGCTTTTCCAAAGAGGTGTCGCCGGTGCAGGATAAAGACCGTCCCATCCAAAGGACGGCAAAAAAGCGAGTCACAGCAGACGAGATTCAGAGTGCACTGGACAACGCTATTTACCAGCTGAAGATGGGCGTACGTGGCCAAGCACCCATGGCTCTCTTCAAGCAGCTGGACGCTAAACAGAATGGAATGGTGACGCCCATGGACTTCGCCAAGTTTGTAAACAAGACCGTGCATGGGATGAGCCCCTTGCCACAAACAGTAGCTCCTTTTGAATCTTCCCTCAACTCCTGCTTTCGTCGTCAGGATGTCACATGGTCCATACTGTCTAAGGCAAAGCGCAAGTTGGCGGTCTGTGGCGGCTGGCTGACAGAAATTGCGACGGCAAGCTTGACTTTCAAGAATTCTGTGACCTTCTAGCTTTCAGGCCTTAAAGGCGCTAGCTGAGGTAGATCATGAACTTCATGTGAACAGTGGAGTGACTTCTTTGTGCAGGTGAATTACTGAACAAATTCGGATGGCACGGCATTGTCCATGCAACTGCTGTAGATCGTCTAGATGCGACCTCCCATAGATGTCTTTTTTGTACGTGCAGCTGCCATGAAACAAATTCAGAGTGGTCGGCTCGCATGCAAGTTTTATGTACCTTGATGAACCGCTCGCAGTGTTGGCTTAATCTCTATAACGAATCAACGGGCTGATGACGTTCTCGGAGCAGTCTCTGTTCCATTCCAATTCTGCGTGGCGTTCGCGGAATGTGAAGCATTTCCGTGACACAGGACCTGCACTAGCCAGCCGCTTTTGTATGAAAAAGGTGCCCTCACGCATGCTGCCCTGGGTGTTCCTTTGCAGTTGGGCTTCTTAGAGCCTGTAGTGTCAAGGACTGATTGTGAGGTGTACTTGCATGACGTTCGTGACACGAAGCTGTTCGAGTCAAAGCGTCGATTTCGCAAGGCCACAGCTGTTCATCCCAGTTGTGCTCTTGAGCTGCATGTGCGATGCTTGGGCGACTGCCGCTTGTCTGGCCCCTCGTGCTTTTGCAGCATATGGCTCAAAGTCTCTGACGCGGTGCGGTGCTCCTGTGAAGCGGGGTGCCCAGCTTGAATCATTACGAAGCTGAAGCGCCTGTAATGAATTCAAAGGATATACTATATTTTACTTCAACATATTTTCATATACTATAATATACTATGTATCATATTACTATCATATAATATATTGAGCCATATTGTCCGGGTGTGCAGGTGCTTGGCATTTCCTGGCGGATCGTGGCGGCATGGGTGCAAGCCGCAGGCCTCCAGGCGCTTTCCAGTTCTCGGAAATGTCCAAAAATGGCCTTCTAGAACCCCGCCTTCTAGAACCCCTACATAATCCGTAGATAATACCCATATGATCCCAAAATAATACTCATACAATCCCTATATAATTCCTATCAAAATCTCTAGGAGTACTCGTACCTATGATACATGATAACACTACCCTATCAGAAGGAGCATGCTATTCTGGGTTCTATATTATTGGCAAACAGGGAGAGGCTCTTCAACTCATGTCCTCACTCCATGCAAGCTGCTTCAATGCTCCAAGAGGCCTAGCATTGCTGGCATTGTTCTTGGCTGCTGCCTTGTTTGCGGCGGCAGTCTACGTGTTCCAGCCTGAGGGTGCGATGCCTAGCAGCAAGATGGTTGCTTTTGCGGTGGTTTTGCTTAGGCCCGCCCCAGCCTTTGTGGCAAGCGGTGCTGTTCAGCAGCTTCCACTACGTCAGAGCCCCAGAGTCCATGAATCTCAAACGTGGTGCCTGCATAGCGCGCTGCCTGCAAGGTTCAGCACATGCTTCGGCCACATCCCGCCAGGCTGCGTGTGGATCTTTTCGTGAGAGATTCCTGTCCCTTCATGCCCTGCATAATTATACTAGTTTCCATTTTCTTTTCCATTATCCCAATATAACCCCAATATATCCCCAAGATATCCCCAATATATCCCCCATATAACCCCTATATAACTCTTACAGTAGTTTCCATTTTCTTTCCCATGATCCCTATAGACAACTCTATATATAGCCTTATGTTATAGAACACCTGGCTGAGATGCAGTCA